TGCGAGACTTGTGCTGTGTCAATGGAGGAGCTTATATCAAAGTGGGTCAACATGTTGGCTCCTTAGACTATCTTTTGCCCTCAGAATATGTACAGACCATGAAGGTCCTTCACAGTGATGCCCCACAGAGCCCCCTTGGTGATATCTATCATGTTTTAGAGGAAGAACTAAAGTGTAAAGTAAACCAAGTCTTTGCTAGTTTTGAAGACAAGCCCATAGGAGCTGCGTCATTAGCACAAGTTCACAAGGCAACACTACATGATGGTAGAGTCGTGGCAGTCAAGGTACAACACAGAGATGTTCAAAAACATGCAGCTGTTGACATGGCAACACTTGAGGTTAGCTCCTGAATTCATTACTTCAAAATAAAAATTAATGTAGTAAGTTATTTGTCTGATGAAATATACTATATGTTCGAAAAAAAAAAGTCACCAGAGCAGTTTGGGAACCTTGACTTAGCTGCATTTCCAATGTTTTTTAATAAGTTTGATTGAATTTTGACTAAATTTTTTCTAGATTTTAGCTGTAGCAGTTTCATGGTTGTTTCCAGAATTCAAGTTTATGTGGCTTGTGGAGGAATCTAAGAAACATCTTCCTCTTGAGCTTGATTTTGAGCATGAGGGACGAAATGCTGAAAAGATTGTGCAGTTTGTCAAGAAATTTCCATTTGTTAAGGTTAGTCAGTCAGTGAGTTTTTCCATGGAAAGGAATCACCCTTTTCTTGAAACCTAAAGGCTGCCCTTAAAGATAAGTTGTCATTCTGCTGTTCAAAAATTAACTGTTATGTCTAAGTATACTTTCTTTTTATTTGTTTCATTTAAAGCAGTGAAGATGGATGCATGTTTTTTATTTGAATTTTTGACTTCTTCTTTAAAGATTCCTGAAATATATTGGCAGTTTTCAACCAAACGTGTGTTAACAATGGAATTCTGTGATGGGGGAAAAGTGGATGACCTTCCATATATGAAAAGTCACAAGATATCCTCTGATGAGGCAAGTTCAAGCTTCTTTCTGAGTGGATCATTTTCTTAAAGATCTAGAATTGCATATGAAGGGTCCTCTGGTTCTTAAAAAAAAATTATTATTTAAACTGATTTGATTCTCATTCCCAGAATGCCAGCAATTTCAATTGGTGATTTACATTTTTGTCTTACAAAAAAAGACAGCTAAGAAATATGCAAAGGTTAAATGCTCATGAGCAAAGTTGTACGTGTTGAGTCTCTCGTTTTACTTTGTTCTTGTTGTTGTAGCTGTCTTGGTTTGCAGGAGGTCTCTGATCTCCTGCTCATGAGAGGTGAGGGTGTAATAGACAACATTGTTCACTTTCGGATTCAAATTTTTTTTCTTTTATTTCTCTTATCTATTTATTTATTTTTTAATCAGATTGCCTACAAGCTTGGCCTTCTCTATAGTGAGATGATATTTGTTAATGGATATGTGCACTGTGACCCTCATCCAGGCAACATTTTTGTCAGGCGGGATCCTAGCAATGGGGTTGAGATTGTCTTCCTTGACCATGGCTTATATCAGGTATGGGAGGTCTTAAGTCAAGTGTATCAGGGCTTACATAGTTGGTGAACTACTACAGATATTATGGGTTTCCTCATTATTTTTTTTTAAGGTTTACATGTTCTGAAATATGTTTAATTAGTATTATAGAATCGTTGTTGTTCATCGCAGTTATGTAGATAAAGATGTACAGTCAGGCTATTGATTATAGTGATCATGATGTTTCCGTTGGTATACTGCTTGTCTTCTTAAAGGACTCTTTGATAGGGGGTGAAATAAAACGTTAACATAAAAGTTTGCAAGGGCAGTCAACAACCAACCATCAATAAGTGGCAATGGATTAGTCAAAACCAAGAATGGTCAAGGAAGGAGTGGATTAGATGGAACGTATATGAATAATAGAAGGCTCAGTTTTTCCAACTGCACACACCACCTCCTTTGACTTTCCCTACGCAGACGTTATCCAATGAATTTCGAATCAACTACTGTAAATTGTGGCAGTCGCTGATCAAGTCAGACTTGGAAGGAATCAAACAGAGTAGTAAGGTGTTGGGTGTGGAAGAGATGTACGGACTTTTGGCCTGTATACTGACCGCAAGGTCCTGGGACGTAGTCACGACAGGCATAGATCAGGGACCAGTCACTGAGGATGAGGTTTGCACGGGTTCAATGTATCATTGGGTAGAGATATGTGAGGAGACTTTAGGCTTGGTACATCAGTAGAGGAGGTTTCTTGTTCACTGATTCCCATTCGAATTGAAATTCTGCGTGGCGAGAGGAAAGGCAAAGAAACCACTGGGAAATTCTTCAACAAGGACTAGAGCCAAACTTGTATATTATTGAATGAAGTTGCTAAAGGCGGTACTTAGATTGAAGTGATAGGCTTCTATTGGTAATTATCTCTAAAAGTCTCCCTTCACTCTTGAACTCTTGAAGCTCTGCCACTTAGACAAGTGAGGAGAATCATGAAAATTATCAGCGGGAAAATATCTTTAAATTCTCACATTAAGCTAGCAAAAAAATTGGGGGGAAACTCGCTGTAAGATCTCAAGAGTTGATTCAAACAAAATGTATTTTATCTTTCAACAGGCGGAGCTTATCCGAGTGAACGCAGCCACATATGTAACAGAGATTACGGAGCTGTTGAACCGTGTTCCTAGGCAACTGCTGTTACTGTTAAAAACAAACGATCTGCTACGGAGTATAGACTACAGACTGAATACCAGCGCCACATCGCGCTCGTTCATTACAATGTCACGTTGCTGTATTCGCGCTGTAACCAAGCAACGGCTAGAAAATTGTCACGGCTGGGTGGAGTGGGTCCGAATTCAAGCAGATTCTACCATAAACCACCTCAGAATTTCACTATATCAGATGTACGCTTCTAGTGTTGTTTTATCGTTCAGAAGACTTTTAACAAGACTTATGGGTGGAATGCCGTTTCTTTGATGACTGAATTCGTAATATTGATAATGAAATGGACAAGTTTTCGGCGTCCCTGATATATTTTTTGTGAATGTTTATCGACATAACCTCAGATACTAAATCTAACTGGGCTAATATATTTTGTAAAATTTGGCAGATTTTCAAAGACAATGTTTGTGCCCTGAATTTAGCACTCCGCTTTTTTTAATTGTCTATTTTTTTTTCGATTCAAGTTTGCAATACTGAATCCACAAGTTGTGGAGGAGTCTATGAACTGAAAAAAAATTACATTAGCTCGCTGAATTATTGAAAAGGTGAAAGAATAAAGGTGGTGTTGCGTCGGTGGAAGGTAGAACAAGATAGTTTGGTTTTATCACTGAGTTGTTACGCTGAAGAGGTGATTTGCGCCAACTGAGGATTGAAACAGTTTAAACTTCTATGACCCTTTGTAAAGCCTAACCTACGCTTTTACGATAAAACTTAAGGCAAAGAAATAGACAATAAATTTATCCGTAATTGGACGAAGGGTTAGGTCATTCGTGTTTTAAATAATCCGGTCTAAGACAATATAGTTTATTAGAAGCTTAGAACCTGTACCACATTCACACCAGCAAAACATGTTTAGTTAAACCGGGTTTAACTAAATGAAGATCAGAAACAGAGAACTGAAAACTGAATTTTCAATAAGATTCAAGTAATCGCTAACTTGTATTTTCGGTGTGCTACATTTTAAGGCGACAAACATCGGTTCACGCAGCTTCTATGCAAGGAGAAAAAAGAAATTTTAAACCGTGTTTGACAAAACAGCATTAAAATATGGTTAAATTATTTCCTTTTGGTCATACACATTTTAAGGTGGAAGTTGACGTTGTGGTTGTATAGTCCATCACAGATCCGCTATGGTAGAATTCCTACGACACTTGGTCTGTGACCCGAATTTGAAGTCCTACTTGTCGCATGCCCTAAAGTTGGAACCACGATATCAAGGCAATGACTTGATTGTCAGCGTATGGTAGTTTATGCCAGTGATAATGTGCTCCTGAGTTTTTCGTCCGTTAAAAGGAAACCACAACACGACGCGAAAATTGGAATTTCACGGAATTCACAAGAGATGGAACTCCTATCCTACCAGTGGTTGTAAAAAAAAATATTTCTTCGATTTCACTGGCTTTCATTAAAATTTAGTTTCCACAATTCGAGATAACTTTCGCGTTCATATTATTTTCGTTGCAGTAGTTCACGGTTTATTCCTCTATTTCTTTTTCACTTAAAAAAAGTTGCGCATCATTTGTAGTGAAGCCATAAATTTTATTGCTCTCTGTTTTCAATACCTGTAGTTATTCAGTTAATCACTGTAGTCCTACGTCCATGAGATAGATTTTTCGTTGCCAGGACACGAGTATCCTTCAAAGTCATATGAGTACAAATGAGTTACAACGAGCTTTTTAATTGACCTGGTTTTCGCTGTGGGGCATGGAAAACTCAATGGAGTGTTTCCTTTTCACTCTTTTACCCACAGGCTTGCTTGTGGGCTAACATTAATGAGTAAATTTTACCCCTTTCTAGTCCCTGCCTGGATACAGAGCTTGACTTCATGTTACTATTCACTAATCGGCAAAGATATGTTATGCAAAGTTAAAGTGTCATTTTCTCCAAGACTGCTAACAGTCTTTGACCTTTGTCCTTGTTGGATTTCTCAGGGAATCTCGTAGATCAGTAGTTGTTAAAACAGCTTTTCGCCGAAGTGGAGGTGGCTATTGGTTGATATTTATCGATGCGCGAAGCAGCGGGGTAAATACCAGCCGCTAACCACCGACACTGAGGTGAATTTTTTTTGTTAAAATACCTATAACATAGGTATTATACCAAAAAAAGATGATTTAAACTCATTCATTCATGCAACAACTACATTTTTTCGGGAACAAGTTACTCGCGGGTTGCTCAAAGGTCAATAATAAAGTATATTCTGAGTTTGAGTATCCAATCAGAGCGCGCCTTTAATACTATCCACTGCTTTATGCATCGTCCGATTCGAAGGATTTAGAAGAAAGATAAACAGATGCGGCTAGAGACTCAATCAGGAGCTTTACTGAATTTCCCAGAGGTACAGCGAATTCGTCATAACTGCCAAGGAGAGCTGACCACATAAAGTTCTGATCAATGTCCCTTTTTCGGAGCCCATATCAAGGCTCGCACGAGGAAGGGTTCTCATCGAATTTTTTGCATTTTTACGACGAAGGAGCCATGGTGGAAGAGCAGTGACAACAAACTCGTAGAGTTTGACCAGTCTCGTTTTCTATCTGTTTCTTGTACTTTATGGGTTTTGACGTACTATGCTTGAACAGACTCTGTGACATTTTACTAGTGTACTTTAAGACCGATGACTTTTAATCCTACTATAACATGTGAGAATGGTTTGAAGGAACACGAACAATGATTGGAAAATATGTTGTGTCTGAATCTTCAAGCATTAGGTGCAAATTATTGTATACAAACGGCTTAGTCCAACTAAGTCGACACTTAAAACAACTGGCAGCTGAGAGGGAAGAATAACCATGGGCAGCTGCTGCAGTAGCCTACTTTCTAAGCAACTTTCACAAAAAGAACACAATGCCGACACGGCCTTTCTTTTTATTTCGTAGCTTGCAGCCCTTAATGTTACACATTAAAGTTTCGTTTTCAGAAACCGACGTGGGGCTGAAACCCGCAATTTGCCCTCTTAAGCTAGACGATCAGCATCTCGAGGCAAACTCATGAGTTTCCTTCTCTGTGGTGTGTTTCACACAGTTGGTGAGTTAAATCAACGAGTGTGATCGTTGGATGTTCTGTACGGCAGAAGCAGGATTCAGGCGTGAGGTTACATCGAAATGTTTTTCAAATGATCACAAAGTGTCCCTTTGTCGTATCTTGAGTCTTGCTCTCTGACGAACCACTCTCAAAAGGCTCGTCGTTTCTAGAATCTCTTGGAAAGAGAGGGTCTATGGCTTTTCTCACAAGGTCTTTAGCTAGGTCTGGTAATAATGCCCTAAAATATCACAGAAGAGGAGTCCAGTTTCCAGAAACACTCTGATCAAGCTAAAGCGCCATACCAAGATAGTTATCCATGTGCTTAAACCTTCTGATAGCATAGAAAAATTATGCGATATTAAACCAAGTATTACATTTTTATTATTTAAACATCTAAATCCGTACTTGCTGTTGATATTAAGCATTGAAATTTCTTGTTAACAAGCGCACAGGATATATGCAATTGGAGGCACCGTTCAGTTGCGAATCTCCAGGCGCCTTAAGTCATGTGGCCTTGAAAATATTTTTTTCCCGGGAGACTCTTCAGGGTCGCACGTTTTAGCAAATCTGAATTGTAAGATTCGCATAGTCGAGTAATTTGCAAAGTAGTTGCAGTTTATGAGTTGCTGGGAAAAATTGCCCTGCACACACAATGATCAAATTGATCAGGAAGTGCAATCATCCTAGTGAGTTCTGTCCCTGAAAATAGCTGTTGTTGGGAATAGTTTTCATTGACAATTGTCCTTATCAGGATCTACCTCACATAGAGGATCAAACCACACCATTGGCAATTTTATATGTAATGAACACTTCCTGCAACAAATGGTACTTACTTTGCACAAGCAGGAGCCCCATTTACCTCCAGGAGCCAGACATGAAACTGGGCATCAATCATGAAGTCAAACCCAAAGAGTTGAAAACTGTGATAACTCAAACCTTCCGTAGTCAATTCCTGAATATTTAATACAATTTTACTT